AATAAAAACATGTTTTTGTTTATAACAAATACGTTTTTCCAATTTGTTTGTAATGAAAGCAAATGTAAATTAATTATATATGTAAAATAAGGAAACATTTCCGGTACCCTCTCCGATAGTGTGAACATGGATGAAAATCATATATGTATAAAGTATTACATTTAGCTTTTTTGGTTGAGTTTGTATCACATACATATGTATACGATATATGTATGTATACAATAGCACATTTGATATGAAGCCAAATATAGTAATGAGATGAGGTGAAAAGAACTTTGCTGTGAAACAGATGGTTTATAAAAACAAACAAGACAAAATAAAGAAATGGACAACCAAGAAAAGTACATAAGTAATTTTGCAAATCTATTAATTTTTATTAATTTTTAGGACTTAAAAATGTGAAAAAAAAACAATTTAGGAGCAGCTGCAGCATTACAGCATATTATTTACACATAAATATCTTTTTATCTGCACATGTATTAAATATATACATACCTACATACATATATACAATATTTACAAATAAAATCGTATTCAAATTATTTAAACATATACATTATGTTTACTTTTTATTAATACTCAGAAGGAAGTAAAATGTACAAATACATAAGTTACATATTTATTGTAATTTATAAATACTTATATTTATAACAGATAACTAGTTCCTCCATTATATTTCAATAAAATAATTTCAAATATCTTTTTCAAAAAAAAAAGAAAAACCTCACAATTTTCAAAGATGTGTATAAGAGACAGGTCTTATTGCNTTTTATGAGCAAGTCTCATATTACAATTTTGTTGCTTACCATTGCACTTGACATTTAGTGGACTGTATATACTTTTTATTTAATTTATTGTTTACATGTATATTTTTATGTATTAGTGTAGTTGTGTCAAAAATATAATTTTATATATATAATTCTATCTTAAGGTTACAAAACTTTCATGTTCATATCTTTATGAACACATGGTATATTATTCATCAAATGATTACTGAGCCAGTTTTAATTTACTGCACTGTGTATTTGGTTGCAGTTCTATTCTACTATTCCCAATATTTAGCAATTTTATTATTTTTAAGGAAGTGTCAGTTTGAAATTGTATTATCGTATATACTTCATCATTCCCGTTTAAAAATTGCACTGCTCTTTGCATCTCAAATTATAATAGACCTTTAAATCAACACTCCAGTTATTCCGCTATATTTTTTTTATGCCAAATATCACGTTTGGTTTGTTATGTATCTGACGGGTTCGTCCTCCAAAAAAAAAAAAAAAATGCCTAGTTCAGGAGCAAAATCAGTATAACTCATATTATAAGTGTGTATGGATATGCAAATTTTTACTTATTTTTTCCATTTTTGAATTAAGAAAAATTTTAAATGGTTATTACATGAATTATGAACAAATGCTTATGATCAAAATATAATTTTTGTATTTTTAAAAGTATCCTATGTCCTTTCCCTGGTTCTAAGCTACCTCCCCACCAATTTTCAGCCAAATCGGTTCAGCACAACTAACACGACTTTCTTTTATATTTAAACAAGTAGATAAGCGCAACGATAGGGGATACATTTAGTATATTGTGTAAATGAGGTAATGATCAACCAGAGAATCGGAAAACAATATATTAGGAATATGATATTTATATCAATGTCAAAACCATTTCGTTCATTATCAGTGCTATGTTCACTTAATTTTACTAAATTATCACACATATTGACCGAATCAAATGGTTTGAAATTAGGTGGAAATGCGGAAATTACAACATTGTGTTTAAAGTCAGTTATAAAAGGAAAGGACTGGAGTGATTGCATAAACTTTTTACAATACTGCGAATATGTTTTTGCGCAAACGTTTTAAGCTATGGGCCGATGTATTGAGCGTAATGTTTGCTAGAATCGAAATCAGCGAAAATCCTACTTTGCATCAAATGAATATACTCAATTTKGTACATTTACTAAATTTTGCTTATCTTAAGTGGAGAAGTATTGACCCGAATTTACTCATGTTGGAAACGAGACACTTTTTGAACGGATAAACATTATTCCTGAAGACCTGAATGGGTCAAATTGAGTAATATTTGCAGGAAAAAGTTAGCCATGTGCACTGCATCTCTAAAAGAGAATAATTGCCCAAATACTTTATTATTATGTATTCCTTGGTAAGTGAGATACACTAGCATTCCTGGTAACTGTGAAGTAGATCTAAAATTAGATATCGGGGGAATCAATACCTGAATACAAATTGGTCACTGTCTAATTGACAGACATACCACATATCCAGTAATTATGATTGTAAAGAGATAGAAGAAGAGGAGACTATAGAAAATCTAGCAAGTATCGGTTGAATGTTTCTTAATGGTGTCTCTGCCACAGATAATTTTTTTTGTATTGATGAACTTCATCAGGAGTACAGGGTGGTTCGGAGAGGATATATTGCAAAGAGAGGAATTTAGTCCCGTTGGTTTCACACTTGGCCTACAAAAGGCCTTGGTACGTAGTCAGATATCCACTCCACTTATATACCTAAATTCTGTTATGTGTTCCGATAATATGATGATCATATTGATTTCTCCTAGTWAGTGACAAAAACGAGGTACTTGGTCCATATCGTTGGAACGTTAAATTCATTGGAAAARGTTGGATATATGGAAATATTTCATGCGACTTTATTGATCGTTATTTAAGTAAGAGCTGAGAGATAGCTCATAGATGTATGCATAGAGGTAAAAAGTTATTCAACGTGTTTAAAACACACTACTACTAAATACTCTTAAATACACTACACATATAACTTATTTCAAAAGTTCATAACTTCACGTGTCATTTAAAAATAAAAGTTACAAGGAACTCCATCATTTTTTTTTTTTTACATTTTTATAAAATTTTGTGCAATTACCTCTAGCTCGTCTATTATTGCTTTATATCGTCCCAGTGTTTTCTAACTAAATGCGTTATATATCATTGTTACTTTATATATACTAGGTTGTCAAAAAAGGCTTGCGGTATTTTTTTTGAATTTTCAATTGTTCATAAWTTTTTTTTTTGATGACTTATGATCAGCTCTTGACCGATGCTATGGCTGCTACTATGCCGGTCTCTTTCGACCAATTCAGCGATTTTATCGCAATTTTCGACAACAGGCCTTCCGGAGCGTGGCGCATCTTCGACCACCTCTACACCAGAACGAAAGCGTTGAAACCATCGCYGTGCGGTGGAAATGGAAACTGTATCGGGTCCATAAACTGTAAAAATTTTATTGGCGCTTGAGATGCATTTTTGCCTTTATGGTAGTAGTACTGTAAAATATGCCGTATTTTCTCTTTATTTTGCTCCATGTTTGCGACGCTATAACTCACGAACGACCAAAGGAAACGACAATCAATCAGACACGTGTTAGCGCGTGAAATGAGCTTTCAAAAAAGGTATACCATGACCCGATGCGACGAATAAAACTAGAGCTACGCGCTCTCAGCGCCAACTAGCGAAAATACCGCAAGACTTTTTGACAACCTAATATATTATGTATATAGATTAAAAAGAATACTCTGCGAGGTGTGTTCAAAATGTATCGCGAATTTTGTGTTTTTTCAAAACTTATTTATTTATTCATGAATATTTATTTTGTCCCCTTCAAAGTAATCCCCATGAGATATTATACACTTGTGCCAACGGTTTTTCCAATCTTCNAAAAAAAAAAGAAAAACCTCACAATTTTCAATTTCAATTTAATTTAGATATACAGGGGTGTTGTGGAATCTTAGAGTTGCCGGAATTAGAATTGACCACCATATAAAAAAGGTAGTTGGTGTCATGAATTCAGATATTATTGTTTGTTGTCCGAAAAAGAATATATATCGGATAGTCGCTGACAGATTTGAAATGTAAGTTAAGAAATCAAGTTATWCTATTGTAACGAATTAATTTATCTTTATTTGTATAGGAGAAAACATAAGAATGAAACACGAAATGTCTTAATTAAAATCCAGTTCATACGATGTTTAGTTTTTTTCTAWMYTGCCCTCCAATTAAGAAAAATCGTAAAAATGGAAAACCTAGAAATTTCGCGTCAAAGTTTTCGCTTTCTGCCCAAGCGCTCGTTATATCTGCTCGGTCACTATTTCCCTTCTAGCTTCAACAATATTTCGAATTCGTATCTATAACTTTGGGGACATATTCGTAGATAATTTGTAAAGTGATATTAGCAAAAAAATCAATTTTTAAAGCTTCTAAAGCAGGCTACCCCCTTAAAGGTGATTTACAAAACGTAATTTAATAATTTAACACCCAAATGCGTCTTTATTCATTCGATAAATGTTATCTCTTACAATCTTCCTTTAAATCGGAACTCATTAAAAACTTTAATAGGATAGCTTCCAAATGTATGTATTCATTTGTAAGTTTTGTCACATTAGTAAAGAGCAGATTCGAATATTGGTTTTGGGTATGTTCGAAAAGACGAAAATATAAACAGATTCCGTAACACCAATGAAAATCAGAATTGGTATGCCATTCTGACAGCTAAACAATTCCGTTTTGGATTCCACAACAAGTATTAGTATATACATATACATGATCAGGAGGATGAGATGAACCAAGCCATTCAAAATAAAAATTTGACAATGGACCGCTYTCCTTTAGCTGAAATCAAATATTTCCAAATCGGGCAAAATCGGGACAAAAAATCCTTACAACCCATATAAAACAATTTTAAAATTTATTTGAACTTTCAAGATCCAGAAACAATTAGTATAACGAGATAAAACTTTCCACAAAAATAGACTTTAAGGTATGTGTGTATATCACCTTCTGTCGTTATTTATAATGAAGTAATAGCCCAGACAGACGAGCAAAATTAATGCGCATTAAGCAAAGCTAATGCCCATTGAAATTGTATAGTGAAAATAAACGCAATATTTGATTGTAACGCAATCTTAGGAGCTGGGATCAGCTACACATACGAAATATTTGAACATTTTAGAACTACCCACTGTTGATGTTGAGCTACGCAATGGCGACACTGACGGCGAGTTCGTCAATGTCATTACTGGCATACACACCGGTTCAGATGACATTGCTTCTGGTGATGATATAAGTAAGGAACGGAAGTAATGTTGAATTTGATATGTTTTAAAGAAGAAATAATTTTAATAACAAACATGTAAAACTCAGCTTACCACAGTAAATGATTTGTAGATTTCAGCAGTATTGGCTAACGTCAAAAAGATTATGTTCATGCATAGTATACATATATTTTTGTGTGAGATTGGCACGATTCTGATTACTTTGGCGGAGGGGTAAAAAAACAGAATTTCCCTGTAAATGGGATATGTGCGGATAAGGAAGCTTTTGCAGAGGAGTAAAATCTAAAAATAATATAAAAATGCCTTATATGTTTAAAAATATTCACGATTAAAAGTTCAAAATTTTGGACAATAGCACATGGATTTTCTCTATCTTTCACTAAATTTATTCATGTTTTTCACTCTGTATATTTAAATATACACTCTAAACATTGAAATAAGTTCACATTTCCATTTTATTTTGAAATATTTTACCTAAATTTATTAATTCAAAAATCATTTATCTCACTCGTTGCTGCAAAGGTTAGATTGTTAACAATTATGACGAAAACGAGCGTTGCCACATCCGGGGTGACTGAAGTTCTTTCGTGTAGTACTCCTTTCTGTGTTGGTGGCCTTCGGCTGCGCTCTAAAAAAATAACCCTGGGCCCGAATCGCGGCATTCGTGAACGAGTAAAATTGTTCGAAATTTCCAGTTTTCGGATTGCGGCACTCGTTATCRAGTACACTCGTTCGAAATTTGACAGTCTGCCATTCGATAACGAGTTGTAATTCAAACGAACGTAACGAAATGTCATTCGATTGATAATTCGCAATCGTTAATTCAAAAGTTTTCAAACGTCGTGAGTCTACTCAGAAAAAATCAAATAAAATGTAAGTTAACGTTTATGTTATTGACTATTTTATAAATAGAATAATTTTTTAGGACAAATGTTAATAAAATCAACATGAGACAAAAAAATTTAATGGCCGAATACATGCTTCGGCATCAAGATTTGGCCAAAAATATGTTGNTAGTGTGTTGTTTTTGGCCAAAAAGTCGCGCACAAGCAACGATGTGTGTGCAGGGGCGTTATCGTAGTGCAAAAGCCAATTTTTGTCACATCTTCTCGGCCTTCTGAGAACATTTTGTTCCACTGATAAACGTTGCTTCGGTCCAAGGTAGCTTCTCCGTATGCCACAGTCAACATTCGGAATGTATCCGCGCACTTAATTTCGTTTTTCACACAAAACTTGATACAGGTTCTTGGATCCATTTTCTTGAATAGGTAAAAATCGAAGACGATCAAAACACGTGCAAGCAAAGCAGCTGTCAACAGCTAAATGAGCATTGAAAATGGCCGAGCTTGTCGGCATAAGTGAGACACATGAGTACCAATATAACGCCACAAAAAATTTGAAATTCGAATAGACGTAACCCGCGAAATTTCAAAATTCGYRATACTTTTTGAACACACCTCGTACTATAGAATTTACATATCAAATTGATTGGATGAAAAGGTATTGTGAAAGTTTGTGTACTGCTATTTGCACTTAAATCGTAAGTCGGTATCCTGTCTTGAAACGCAGATTGTGTGCATATATCGCACCAAATCCGAGCTTTTATTTAAAAAGGAAAGAAATATCCTAAGCAACCAGAAGTTTCTACACCACTGATATAAGTAAATTTATTTTCATGAAAGAAGTTTATTATGTGATCAATATTTGATTCCAAAGCCGTACTGAACTTCAGGGTTTAATTTTACAGTATTATGTAAATCTAAGCTTTTTGGTTATTGATTTGAACACAAAGATAGACATATGTACATACATTTGTTTTAAATATATCATACATATAATTGCAGGCGTTTACGTGCAGGAAAGTCTTCTATCGGATTGCAAACATATCTGGAACCAACAAAGCTATTGAAGGATGTTAATTTAGGCATACAGAAAGATTTACTGCTTTTTAAGGATATTCAAATTCAAACAGATGGTTTCTATACAAAGAAGACAAACAACGGAGAAACGTGTAATAGATTTGTATACAATTGTTTTCTATGTCACTTCCTTTTAACCTTTACAAAAAAATAACGCGTTCAAAGATTTTACTATACCTGGGCTCGAATCGCGGCATTCGTGAACGAGTAAAATTGTTCGAAATTTCCAGTTTTCGGATTGCGGTACTCGTTATCGAGTACACTCGTTCGAAATTTGACATTCTGTCATTCGATAACGAGTTGTAATTCAAACGAACCTAACGAAATGTCATTCGATTGATAATTTGCAATCGTTAATTCAAAAGTTTTCAAACGTCGTGAGTCTACTCAGAAGAAATCAAATAAAATGTAAGTTAACGTTTATGTTATTGACTATTTTATAAATAGAATAATTTTTTAGGACAAATGTTAATAAAATCAACATGAGACAAAAAAATTTAATGGCCGAATACATGTTTCGGCATCAAGATTTGGCCAAAAATATGTTGCCGAGTTGTGGTCAGGGCAAAGCTGCTGCCAATAAATTGTGGGACTCCTTGGCGGTCCTGCTTAATGCGGCCGGTCCACCAATAAATAATGCTAAGTCTTGGCGAAAAGTACGTAGATCTCCATGCATTTCCTCTTTTGATAAGTGTCTTAACAAATTTACTAACACAAATGTTATTTTCTATATACATATACCCTTAGGTATTTGCTGATCAAAAGCACAACGTCAAAAAGAAGTTGTCTTTCAACAAAGCGTCGAAGCAGCGAACTGGTGGTGGTCCTTACGAAGAAAAGTACCTAACAACAGCAGAGGRGCAACTGCTTCAGGCTACCGGCATGGACGTTGCGGTAGAAGGCCTGGGAGAAGTAAGGACTTTTGGCAACTCCACCCCTGAAAAAGAGCCTTTAGTGATGAAGACGACGTTCCACCGAAACCCTCTATTAGTCGCAGCGCTACGAAGAGGAGCAAACAGGATGCTGCCGATGAAAAGCTGGCCCTCATTAACGAAAACATGATCGCGTTTGAAAGCTACCAGTAGAGTATAGGCGCAAAACTAGACAAACTTATAGCTTTGAAGGAGAGGTCGATGGAAATAAAAGAGGAAGCTCCAAAGCTTATATGAAAGTCAAAGCAATAGAGCTGCAAATTAACCTAATACAATTAGAAGCCTTAAAAGAAAATAAATAAATATACATACAAATAATAATAAACATACATATACTTGTTTTATTCAAATTGTATTTTCTAGCGCCAACATTATATGGTTTCGAATTTTGTGTCCAMTTTTGGTTAAATGAGTTTCGTTTCCCATATCCACTTCTGTGTTAATAGCTTCACTTGCAGAATGTCTACAATACGACGCATCTTTGTAATGTATGCAAATGTTATGCAACGCTGCACATACATTCTCGAATTGTGCCATTTTTTCAGGTTGGTAACAGCTTGAGTAGACCCTTCTTCAGGGTTCCTGAATGGTGTTAAACACCACGGCTCCAAGGAATAACCCGAATCTCCTATTGATTTACGAAAAATGTATTTTAAATTTAGGTACATATATGCATAACAGTRCAATAAAAAGTTATATTACCTAAAAGCCAAACATTTTTGAAGTTATTTTGGTTAAATTGCTCCTYCAAAAACTTTCGTTGTGCCGAATGCTTCCACACAAAGGAATCGTGTGCGGCTCCACCATACTTTGAGTCAAAATCCAAAATGCGGTATTCATGGTCACATATCTGTAATTAAATTAAAGTTTATAAGTATACGTATGTGTATGTGCATACATTTTATATDCAACCTACTATCATTGAGTTGAGGCTATGGTATCCTTTCCTGTTGAAGAACATGTGCTCATTTACTGTTGGTTTTTGCAGCGCAAAGTGCGTGCCATCAATACATCCAATAACTGCATGCACAAACATATATTTAAATATGTTAAGTATGCTTCAGCTTTAAAAGCGCTACATTTTACTCAAAATAAAAGTGCTAATCTTACCTCC